AATCATGTAATCATTATTTATGCACTTAGTAAGCGAGACTGGCTGTCATAAGAGGAAATTCAAGATTGCACATGTTATATGGTGACCAATCATGTTGAAGAAGATCTTGTGGGGCGGAGCTTTTGAAAGTATATAAGGGGGCACTTTTCTTTTGGGGGGTGTGCAAGCACCCGGCTTATGCGGAGCACTCTGTCACGCTTACTAGCATCATCTAACTAATAAAGACGATTTTACCTCTGCAGCCCTGGGTTTTGGACTTAGACCTTCTCGCTTGGAGTGAAGGCACAGAGGGTCACTCACAGTTAATTTTTTTTCTTTCACAGAATGTATTTACCTTTCTTTCCACCACAGAGATTAATAATGCAGTGGGCAGCACATAGTGACAACTAAAGGTCACCAGTGCAGATAAGGCAGGGGTGCGAGTGGGAGGACTGAAGCTCACACTGCGAGGGTCTAGCCAGCACAGTCTGGCACTGCACACAAGAAAGTAATACAGACGTCACTACTGTACACAGTATCGGAGGTATCGGAGGTCTGTAGCTATTGGCTCTGCAGATACTTGGTGACTTCTGCACACTGTGAGCCTCAGCTTGCGTTCTCCCCGCTCTGTGATTTTACGTGGCCTACCACTTCATGGCTGAGTTGCTGTCGTCCCCAATTGCTTCCACTTTCTTATAGTACCACTAACAGTTGACCGTGAAATATTTAGTTGCAAGGACATTTCACGAATGGACTTCTTGCACAGGTGGCATCCTATCATGGTACCACGTTTGAATTCACTGAGCTCCCGAGAGTGACCCATTCTTTCGCAAATGTTTTGTAGAAGCAGTCTGCATGCCCAGGTGATTGATTTTATATACCTGTGGCTATGGAAGTGATTGGAAAACCTGAATTCAATTATTTGGAGGGGTCTCCCAATGCTTTTGGTCATATAGTGTATCTCTGATGGAAAATCAGATCGGTCTGATATTACACTGAATTATTGATCATGTTGTGCACTGCTCCACAGGACATCTGGTGGGGGCAGGTCCCACGGCCCCCGTGAACAGAAGTGCCTGCTGTGTATTTATGTACTGTAGGACTTTCTATAGATCAGACACTTAAAATTGCTCTGCAACTTTCAGTCTATCCTGAGCAATAATATTACTATAACTTAAACTGAAAGAAAAATATATAAAAACTAGGGCTGGGAATCGATTTTTAAAAATAACCTTAAAAATCACATAGTTTTCTGTGATTAATCAGGATTTTTAAAATGAGTTTGACTTAAATTATACAACTTCATTGCCTACCCTGTCAATTTTGCCACCCGGGTGGTTAATCAGTTTTGTTATGTTAGCATTTATTTCTATAATAATAAAGTATTTCATCAAATGAGAGGTAAGACAAATGATCCATTTTGTCAAAGGAAAATAAGTAGGATTTATGTGTTGGAATATCACACAGACCAGGAGTTGTGTGTGAATGTCTCCCAAAATCTCTGGGTATGAAGCCCTCGGTTGGAGATTAGCAGGAATCAGATAAACAGGCTCCTGATTGTAAGCTGCTCATGTCTCTCTTCTGGTTTAGAAGCCAGGTTTTCCAGTGGTCTATATGAGTCTAAATAAAACACCAATGTTAGTGAATGGGATTCCAGACTTTCAGCTAAAAACAGCCAGTCCACAGCAATCTTCCCAAACACAGATCCATCGGCATGTATGATCTCGACCATGCAGAGCACATTAGGTAAATATCAGGTATTTAAGGCTGTGCCAAAACCAAAATAGCAGAGTGGGTCTGTTCAACAAACTAAAAGAAGTGGATCATTTCACAGCAAATATTTTGGAACAGAAGTAGAGTCGTGTATGAAGGTTAATTAAGGCACGCAATAAAAATATCATGGCGTGTCATATATATATACAGCATCAACAGTAAGCACTCTGCCAACGCTACAGGTTGATCGTAATTATGTCCTCTGCACTGCTGAGCTGTGTTGCCAAGTTGGAGACCACAACCCTGAGGGGGATTTTAAAATGGGCACGTAAACGGCAAGCCACGACGTTTGCTGCACAAGGAAA